AACTGCTCCACTTTAGATTGTCCTCTGTATCTTTTACCATGATGGTGAATGATCCCTCCTTCTTTACCAAATCAATTTTTCTCTTGACATTGTCCAGAGTTAAATAAAGAATGCCCACTACAAAATTTGACGCACACCCTAAGTTTCACTCACATTTGCCACCCTGAGGTAAAAGTTGGTTATATTTATATCCTGTGCACACCAGGTCATCCATGCAACAGAGTTTGCTGCATTGGAAAAGAGACGATATCCCCTGTGGTTGGGTTGTTTCCTCACCCATACTCAAGTTCAAGTGTTTTTTCCTCCATGTTTCTGTCTCCAGATCCATTTACTACTGCCCACTGCATGTCAGTAATTCCATGAGTTAATATTCGCTTAGAAGATACAACTAAGTAGAAGATCCAGCAAGATACTGACAGAGTAACAAAAGTATAACTTAATAATGGCTCTTTGGGATCTTCTGCGATCCTCACGTACAGGCACCACTGACCATTAGTAGGAAAACTGTACTGAGTGATTCCCAACCAACCATATGTTCTGCTTCCACATTTGTGCCATATCCAAAACCTGTATTCTGTCTCTTTACAGAACAATACTCTAAGCAATATACTACTCTTATACACGCACACAGGCACCATATTGGACTCTCTTTAAATATTTTCTTATCAATTCTGCCTTATCATATCACCAATCTTCTAAAATTCTTGTGGGTTTGACTATTTTCCTGATTTTTGTTCTCATTCCATCTAGATTACTTTAACATTTTCTCAATGAGAGTTTGGATGAGGGTTGTTGCTCTGAGCCACCTAAACTTCTCCTGTAAGGCCATTAGATTCACCTGTCTTCACCTCACTACTCTCCACTCAGGACCCTAGCCTATGAAACCATCCACATTCAATAAAGCCAATTTGCATATGCCACATCAGCTTCCTTAGAATGTTCACTTGACTGCCTTGTGGCCACTGCATGCTCATTGGTCAGACCTATCTTCTATACAGAAACAGTGATAGATGAAAGTTTTCCACCTCCCAAGACTTTCAATATTCCAAAAGTCTAAGTGCAACTTAGATTTTGTACCTTCCATCATGACTCTTCAATTCTGGTATGCATCTATAGCACAGGAGTGATTCCACCAGGTGCGTATTTTTCTTCTCCTAGAAAAAGGCATACCATATGATACCTGGGGCAGATCAATCACCTAAATTAGCAAATGCTAAATTATTTTCTTGTTTATAGCTCTATAGTTAAATCCACCCACTGCTATCAGTGATCCAAATGAATTCAGGAATATTATAGATTGATTTTCTTTCACCAAACACCAGCATTTTATAAATCAACAGGAGGCCACCATTTGCATCTCTTTCTCTATCAGTGAACACTTGTTAAGACCTTGACCTACACAGGAACATAGCACCTGACATGCTTTTAACTTTTCCAAAGAACATGGCTTTGAGGTCAGAATAATTCTTGTCTTATTATTCTTTGAGTGACCCCTTTTCTGCCTTTAATTTTTTCAGCCCATCTTGACTGCTTTACCACTTCATAAATCCAATTTACACGACATTCTTTGTCACTGAGAACCTGGGAAGTGTTTTCTCCTATAAACGTGATCTATGTTGACTCCCTGACTGTGGGAGAAATACTTTAAAGGGAGGCACCGCTGTCCCACCTTTAAATGTCTGTAACCTTTACACTTCAAAAATTCGTGAATTTGTCAGATGTGAGGAATTGGAAAATCAAGAATGCTTACAGGCCGGGCGGTGGTGGCGCACGCCTTTAATCCCAGCACTCGGGAGGCACAGGCAGGCGGATCTCTGTGAGTTCGAGACCAGCCTGGTCTACAAGAGCTAGTTCCAGGACAGGCTCCAAAACCACAGAGAAACCCTGTCTCGAAAAACCAAAAAAAAAAAAAAAAAAAAAAGAATGCTTACAAAAAGGTGCTGAAAATCTACATTTCAACAGTTAAAGAGATGGACCTAACATCAACAACAACTGCCAGACCTACAATTGTTGAGGATTTTATAACCCATGAAATCTGTAAATAAATAGTAGCCCACAAAATCTTCTAAAACAAAATGTGTAATCGAAAATGGAAACAACCTGGCGTTTTGGTGACCTTGTCTCTAGGAATACACCATGATTTTTTTTTTTCTGAAATCTTGTTTCAAAATTATGTAGCAAGAAAGACTTTATTGTGATTAATATTGATAGGGAACACAATTAATCATGGCAGGGAAGATGAGGTGGCTTGTTTCATTGCTTTTACAATCAGGTATAAGGCTGAGATTAATGTTCTTTCGTTCTTTACTTCTTTTGTCCTTCAAATTCAGTCTTTGCCACAGTGCATGGAGTGGTGATGTCCACAGTTATGGTGGATCTATGATAACCAAGTATAGAACTCCCTTATTATCATTCCCAGAGGATTGTTTGCTAGGTGATTCTTGTGCATATAAAGCTGACATTTGATATTAAGTGACAAAAACAACCCTTATAAACATGACTCAAATCATGCCTCAAACTTGATGGCTTTATGTATCATTTCCTCATAAACTCATGCATGTGTCTTAAAGCAAACATATTGAGTATGTTTGTATTAATTGTAGTATTTCACAATATGCATACTGTTTATAAGTCAAGTGCCTGCTCTGATATTTGAAACAATCTCTTAACACCGAGATCCTTTAAAGAAAATCCAAAATACAGTTTTAATATATCACATAACCAAGGAATAATGACATTCCAAAATTGAGGAATGGGGAATATCAAGGATTACCTGCTTGGGAAAATACTACAACCCATGAGAGCAGGCATCAGATTTGCTGTTTTGTCATGTCTGGTAGCGAATCCTAGGATGGAGTCATTATCTCTAAAGAGCTTGAGTAGCCAATCTCTTCCAAAAATGTTGCCTCTAACACATATAGCCTTCATTGTCTAGTTTCACCATGCCTTTAGGTTTACTCAGTGGACTGTAGAATGGATTTTCCATGTCTGATACTCTGATATCTCTATGCAACTCTAGTCCCATCTTCATTGTGTCCCACAATGGCCTTTCAAACTTCCTTACATGGACTACAAACATGTCACACATTGCCTGGCCCCAGGGGATCTCGGCAACCTTGTGGTAAACCTGAAGGGTACTGGCATTCTTCTATCTTCCATTTCTGTAAAATTAGTGCCACTTGTGCAATGCTGCCAAGGTCTCGAGCAGGATGGGCTTCTTTTTCACCATTTGGATCACTGAAGGGCTAATGGCACAAAAGCTCTAAGTGAGAAGAAATCTTGATAGATGCCATATACAGGATGCAAGGATCCAGAACGCTTCTGACAAGGGAACCCAATGGATGATGAGGACTTACACACTAAAGAACTTTTCCTTCTCCCAAGTAGAACATCCACCTCTCCTGATAATGCCACACCAACCCCCATTGGCAATTCCAACTTGAAGTGGCAAATGCTTTTTCAGCATCTACTGGAGAATAGATCTGTAGATTGAATGTTCCATGACAAGAATCTTTACTGCCCATAAAACCCCAAGTACCCTGTGTCACATGCCCACCACCCTTGATCAGTCCTGATCTAACAATAATAGTCTCCATGGAGATCCTACCTCTAATAAATTGAGAGAGAATACTAGTTAAACAACTCCATATTTTCTCAATCAAAATAGGGCATTTCCTGAAACAAACTTTATTGTAAGCAACATCTTTTTATAGAAGAAACCACTGAAAGAAACAGTTAGATCATTTTATTATTTATTGTGAAGTGTTAATTGCTTTATTCTTGTGGTTAGTGTTGTTTTTAAGGATTCCTATTGATGCTGAGTTCTATTAAAATTGTACTTGTTGGCAGCAGGGAACGCTAGGCCTTAAACAGTTTTGGTTATAATCTGTAATGGTTTCATTGGTAAGGATTGCACAGAGATAAGACCTAATGTCCTACAGACTTGGAGAAACTTTTAGAAGGAAAGGACAGACAGTCGAGAAGCTGAAAGCACGTACTGCACCAGGCCGGGTTGAAAAATGTACTAGGAAAAACCACAGGGTTTCTAAACAATCCCAAGGCCAGGTTACTTTGCTTCCTATGAGTTATTCAACAGTGAGTCCATGGTGGCCATCTATGTAAAAGTGACTGTTGTTGGAGTATTGGATGGGAACTGAATTACAAACTAGAGATAATAAAGTGAGATAGTATATGTTCTGGTTGCATAAGAAGAAGAAATTGAACTTGTAATGGGATGGGAGAGTGGTGTGAAATAAGAACCCGGTGAGAACAAGTCAAGGTAATTAACAAACGGAGGCAGATGTTTTCACTAATTCTCTGTTGGTATGATTGTTACAGTAAATAGGTTATAGTTTAGTTGAATAAGTTACAATTAGCTCTAAGCCCAGTTCTGCACACTGAGCTAATGTTTGTAAACCTGGCTAAAAAGCCTGTGACTGGAGATGTTCTCGGTTCCAAAAATGAAGGCTTTTGACAATGTTTTCTTAAACTAATTTGATTTCTCTACCAAAACAGCCTCCTTGACATCTGCATTTGAATATTAGACACCCTTAGGTGCCTAAGATGGAAAATCAAACATTTCACAACATACCTTGGATGTTGTCAAAGATTTATGCTGGTAAAACTGCTCAGTGTACTGTGGCCATGTGTTCAAATTCTACAAAATCAGTGAATTATTTATGACCTCCATCCAAGTTTCATTGAACTTTTCCGAAGAAATCATCAAAATATTTAAGAATCTGAAGGAAATTTAAGAAGGTCTCTGAGATAGCTGTTTACCTAGTATCTGAAACTGCTCTCGGTCTTTATAAGGAAGAAATAGCTGTGGTTACTCCTAAAATAATTTGTGTTCTCCCCCACACCTAAAACCAAGATAAGCAGCGCACGTAGAACTAGAAGCCAGGCTCATGGTAACGAAACTATTTATACCCCTGAGGGGAACAAATAATGATAAATGACACGATGCTTTCTTTTCCTGCTACCTGTGTGCAGCCTTAGGAATCCTGTGATAGAGTATAAAAAGAGGTGGCGAGTTAGTCGGAGGCAGGACTCCAGTGAAGTGTCTTCCCCGAGTCAACAGCTAAGCCGTGGTGGGACTTAGCAGCGATGCCACTGACTTTGACTCAACCGTGCTCCTGTAAGTAACTGTTTACTCTCCTCCTCCCAATGAGCTTAAGCAATGCATTATATTGCAAAGCTTGTTGGGAGAGTTTACATCTCCCGTGTTGTTACTTTTCTTACCGGGAATGAAGGACATTAATACTTAAACAAGGAAAGTAAAGTCCAGTGAATCTGAGAAATATTTTCTAATCATTATTTTAGAAGCAAATGCAAAGTGCGTTTATGGATCTGTATTTCCCAAAGAGGAATAATGTAGCCTGGAGTCATGTAGCAGCATCTAGAAACATTTTGCACTGTTTTAGGTGACTGAAGTAAAGAATATGAATATTACTAACACTTTGTAGTAGAAATCATGATGTGTCTAAACAACCTTGAATCGTCAGGAGAGACCTACAGAAGGGAATGATCTATCTCAAAAAATCGAAAATTCAGATATTGAGACATTTGATGGGACCACATGAGCCCATGGGTTCAGTATATGGGACATGTAGAATGAAGAATGTATCATGTTCTGGCTTGAATAGAATGAACTAAATAATATTTTCTATTTGAGAACAGTGTATACAAGTTTAGGAGATGAATCTATAAAGTTTTGAAAATTTAGTTCCAGTAAAATACCATTTTAAAAATGGAAAATTTGCTAACATTTGGACTTTTTCTTACTATTTTTAAGTAAAACATTTGGAATAGCATAAATTGGATTATATGAAATAAAACCTAAAGTCATTGGATCCTAGCACTCCTTTTAGACTGCTAAAATTCTGCAGATGCTAAATTGAAAAGCAGTATATGCACCTATTCTAAACATAAATATATGAGGTGCATAAAATTAATTGGGGGAAGCAGCATGAGTTTTTTTTTGTATTTAATAGGAATTATCTATGTAGAATTGTTTCTGTTTATCTTTGAAAATAAAAAAAATAGTTAAAACCTCAAAATTGAAAGGTGGTTATTTTATAGGTAAGGGAAGTAAATAAATGAAGGTTAGTGGGGCTTCCTGGTCCATGTGCTCAAAGGCAAAACTTGTTATTTACAAATAACTTCTGCTGATACTTGGCACTAAGACTTGCTTCCACATGAGATCCCAAAGTACATAAGATATGAACATAAGAAATATACACATATGACAGGACTTCCATGGTGTTGGCATTGAACCTTCTCCACCAGGCAATATATTAAAATGAAAACCCTATGAAATATCAATATACCTATAAGGCTTCCCTTTTTTCAAGATAATTTGATGATATTACACAGGTTTTTCCATTCATACGATTGCTGTAAACAGCCCGTTCACAGAGAAACCAAGTGCAAGCTTTGGGGAAATGTTGAATGAGTTTATTACCATGCATGAGTGAAAGTCAGCATACAAAATCCTTTTTATGACGGGGTTCTCTTTCTCCTCAGAATTGAGCAACAGGCAGGCATGTGTTTATCCCTATGAAGCAGTCAGATACAGTAGAAGGTGTTGTGCTGTCCTTGTACAAATTTGAAGGTTTCTAAGGAGTGCAGGACAAGGTCTTTCAGAGAGGGACAGCTGAAACTCAACCTAAGTGTTCAAGATGTCAGCTTCCTAAAGAGAATGGCTTCCACTCACTCACAATTAACATAAACTCCAAATGTTTGGAAATTTCGGAATCATATTTGATAGAGATCCAAAATGGTGCGAAGTCATCAAACTCCCAAACTGTATGTGTTAATTATTATTAGTTATTCAGTTACGTTTTTACAGTGGAAGAAGTTTATTCCCTAGCACAGTTTTACAGTGCCAGATCATACAAGGGAGGACATCAAGCAGAGATATTGTCACTGTTGATAACCTCATATGAAGAGTTCTCAGTGGAGCTTTATTTCTGCATAGCAGGGACTTTCCTGATGCTGTTGCTGTCAAACCTCCTCCTGTGGGAAGGGGTGGCATCTACGCCCATGAATATCAGTGACGCTGGCCTTAGTGAAGTGTCCCTCAAAGATCTGGTGAAAAATGCCCTTATACTGGCTGAGAACATCAGTGACCTTGCTACAGACATGCGCCGAGAATTTGTAAGTACCTCACTAACCCCAACTTTTTCCCAAAAGGAACCTCCCAGATGATGAGTTCATCGCATTATAGTTTAATAGGAAACGTAATGCAACCTATTCCTAATATGCCTTTCAAATTTACAAGAAAGTCTATGGTACTTAAAGTGCAACAAGGAGAATGTTGCAGTTCCATGAAATCTTAAAGACTTGTAAAAACTTTCAATAGGGCAATGGCACTGGGTTTTGATCCTACTTCATGTTCTGGCTTTGTGAGAACCTAGCCAGTTTGGATGCTCACCTTCCTAAACCTGGATGGAGGGGGGAGGACCTTGGACTTTCCACAGGGCTGGGAACTCTGACTGCTCTTTGGACTGGAGAGGGAGTGGGAGAGGAGTGGGGGGAGGGGAGAGAAGTGGGAAGAGGGGGAGGGAAATGGGAGGCTGGGAGGAGGCGGAATTTTTTTTTTAATTAAAAAAAAAGATATAGACACCAAGAAAGAGGAAAAATGAAACCCCAATAAATGTTAATAAAATCAAAAAAACTTTCAATAGTTTTAATTAAAATAAATAGTTGTATTTAAAATTGGAGTTGTAGCTCAGGGATTAAAAACACTGACAGCTCTTCCAGAAGACCCAGGTTTAATTCCTAACATTCACACGGAGGCTCACAACTCTGTAAATCCAGTAGGTCTGAGGCACTCTCACACTGATAGATACAGGCAGAACACCATTGCAAGAAAGAAAGGTAGGAAAGAAGAAAGGAAGGAAGGAAGGAAGGAAGGAAGGAAGGAAGGAAGGAAGGAAGGAAGGAAGGAAGGAAGGAAAGAAGGAAGGAAAGATTATTTGCCTCTATGTAACTTTTCTAAAAACACACATAAGAATAACTTTTCTTAAATTTGCAGTCATGACCTGAAAACCTAGAAGATGTAACTGCTGAAGAACTTGGACTTCCTTACATTCTTTGCAGCAGGCCAGTCTCCAAGGCATCTTAAGTTATCACACATTAAACATTATAGAGGAAAAAGTGTATTATTGAAGGTTGAACAGAATGACTGGAACTAATCTAAACTCAGATGTCAAGAAAGGAAATAGATATATTCTGTTCACAAAAACCCCTTCATCTAGAAACCTTTTTTTTTTTTAAAGGTTTCCAGTGCATGAGTTTATTTAAGGGAGGACTGAGTTAGAGGTGAAAAGGGCTTGAATATTATCTGTGTAAAGGTCAATCAAGAAGGAGACAATTGGGAAGGCCTCAATAACAGGGGTACCCAGAAAATGCGTCCCTACATTTACAATAAAATGTATTCGTGATGTTTACTCACACATTTTTTTTTCATTGCTCCATTCTGTTTTAGTTCTTCAACAAGTACTCGTCAAGAATATTCAATCAAATTGTAAGTACCTTTATTGACTTCTCCCTTCTCCACAAAGCATCCATGCTAATGATTGCACTGTAGTGTTCATAAGAAAGCAGCAAGAACCAATTCAAATAAAACCCCTGCAGAGGTGAAGGGTGAAGGAACCTTCAGCCACTGTAAGCAGGATGAAAACGAAACAGCTTTGGGGAACATGTTTTGCCACGGATAAAATGATTGTTCATGTTATTCTCAAATTTATGTTTTATTTTTTTAATGTTTATATTTATGGGAAAATTGTAAAGATTTTAGGAAGAAGATAATTTTGATTATGTATTCAGTAATATGAACCCTTAATTAGTATCTTATTTTGAACTTCATCATTGCTTAGTATTTCCTAAAATGGTTAACTTTTATGTTTAATTTTGTTACAATTGAAACAATTTCATTAATGATTTATGATAGACTTTTAATGGTATAGGTGTATATATTCACTGGAAACAGGAAGAAAATACTTAATTTATTTAATGCCTAGTTTTAAAAATGAATTTAAACTAACACCAAACAAGAAATTAATTAATAATGGTACATATTTACCATGACATGCTCAAAGCACACTGAAAAATGCTGTTTAAATGTTCCACATTTTTACCATTACCATATTTAGGGGTTATCTTTACATTATATAGTAAATTTTAGGATTACTGACAGAACAATAAAATGCTAAATAGGAAAAAGGATATTAGAAACTGAGATGAAAAGTCAAATGAAGTTACTGACTTAAATGGAATATTAAGTAAAAGAGTTACTCTCCTAATTGTAGATTGCATGCAATGCTAATTTGTAAAAATTATACATCTATTAAATATATTACTATTTTGGTTGCTAGTTCATTTTTTTCAATTTTTAAATATCAGTTAACTCAAATTTCCTCTTGAACATTTTCAGATGTTAAATTTGCAATGGGACGTGAATAAGGGGAAAATTTTAAAACACTGCCACATTCTTCCCATCGAATCTCCAAGCACAATAGAAGAATTCAGGAAGAAACTGGTGCGTTCTCAGCATTTCATCTAAACAGCTAAATTGCTGCCCTGACTTTGCCATGGTGTACCTTCCTATGAGCACTGCCAGGGGTGTGGTAATCTGAAGGGCAGGAATGCCAAGTGAAACAAAAACCACAGTATATACTTGATAAATTACAAAGGAAATCAGATATTACATAATCGTTTAGTAGATCATTATATACCTACCATTTAAAAGATCTTAATTTTAATCAATTAATTAATTATTTTTTAAAAAGAAAATAATATTTTCATTTTACATACCAATCCCAGTTTCCACTCCCTCCCCTCCTACCCTTCCCTCAATCCTAATTCCCTACCTTACCCCCATCTACTCCTCAGAGAGGGTAAGGCGCATTGCTTTGGGGAAGGTCCAAGGCCTTCCCTACTACATCTAGACTGAGCAAGGTATCTGTCCAAAGAGAATAAGTTCCAAAATGCTAGTACAAGCTGTAGGGATAAATCTCGGTGCCACTGCCATTGGCCCTACAGTCTGCCCCAGCCATACAACTGTCACCTACGTTCAGAGGGACTAGTTTGGAACTATGCTGTTCCCTCCCCTGTCCAACTAGAGGTTGTGAGCTCCCATGAGCTCAGGTAGACTGTTTCAGTAGGTGTACCCATCATGGTCTTGACCTCTTTGTTCATATTCTCACTCCTCCCACTCTTCAACTGGACTTTGGGAGCTCAGTCCAGTGCTCTGATTCAGGCCTTTGCCTGTGTTTCCATCAGTTGTTGAACAAAAGTTCTATGGTGACATTTAAGATAGTCATCAGTCTGAGTACAGGACAAGACCAGGTCAGACACCCTCTCTTCTATTGTTTAGAGTCTTAGCTGGGGTCACCCAAAACAAACAAACAAAAAAAGATCTTATTTTAATAATGTTTTGCCACTTGGAATTGACTTATTATTCTGTAAGAAACTTTGAACAAAAGTGAGCACCTATTTTTTTTTTAAAAACACATTCGTGTATATGGTTAAGATATGCAAAGGCAATAGTCTTTATTATAAATTAATAATGTCTCCACATTGATATGCCTGTCATTATTGACCACCAAGCTAATTCTTCTATTCTAAATATCCTGGTTCTACATTTGCTTCTTATATTTGAATGCCAAACTCCTTGAGTTTATAATTTCTTCTATGTCTTAACCAAAAGTACCTGGACAAGGGAGTCTTATAAATCCTGTCTACTGCTCCCCAACAGAAAATCACTTCCTCAGTTGTGATGAGAAGTCTAACAGTTCTGATTACGTTTTGTTATGACTCTCCTTTCTTACCCATGACCATAACTTACCCTCCAGATTATTAACTTAAGCATCACTTATAATTAGTAAAGTAAAAGGAGGGTAAGGTGGAGACATGATGCTTCTGAAGATTTACTCTATTGTAGAAATGTCACAAAGTAGCTTATTGACATTGTTTGAATCAATCCTCCCAAATTGCAGCTTGGATAAGGAAATGAATGCTTTGAAATGTTTTGTGGAACTTGTATCATCTGCCAGCCCAGTCATAATGGAATTTTGAACTTTATCAAATTCAAATCCTCTCTCTTATTCACCCTCTCCCAGCTACCTGCACTGCCGTAACATTTCCCCTGCTTTGTCCTTTCATATTCTTCCCACATTTCTGCCAGTGTGCATTGAACACTGTTCTGCTCTTCACTCTCCTTATCACTATATTAGTTAAAAGACTTAAACATAGTTCAAATACAATCCTGACATATACTGAAGCGTTAAAATTGAACTGTTGTGTCCATGCATGCAAGGAGCCTCATTATTCTTCAGTATACTTGTTAGAGACAAGGGAAGGGAGTGTTGTAGACCAAAGAACCATATTTATTAATGACCGATTGTCTACAAGGTACCTTTCTATTAATATCCTAAAGTTCATAATGAGTATTTTGCAAACATCCTCTCTAACTGATGTCATGAATACGATTTAAATGATTTGCTGTTGAAACTGTTAATATCTGTCTTTCTGATTCTAGTCCAGTGAGCACCTCCTCAGTTCAAGAAAGCCTTGGGTGAGGGTCTGTCTCATGGAAGAACAAAACAATCAAATGTATAATGCCTTACCGGGAAGGCAGTTGGTAGAATTTCAGACATAAAACAGAACATGTTAAATTATATAGTTTATAGAAACTATTATTTATATAAGCAGTTTCATTTTTTTTAAACTACAGGTGAATATTTTGACTTTTACATTGCTACATCATTTTCTTCTCAAGAAAATCACACTTACACATAAGAATAGCAGATGATGAGTTAGTTACTGCTTCCTAATTAACAGTCATGTGTAACTAGTCCTATATTTCACTTATCTTAATTATTGTTCAATTACTGTTACATAGTTTGAAGACATTTTGAATACGACACTACTTATACTGCGTGACTGGAAAGATCCTCTGAAATATCTAGTGAAACAACTCCATTCTATGCCAGGAGTCCCTGATGTTATCCTATCAATGGCCGAAGCCATTGAGGACCAGCACAAAATTTTTCTAGAACACATGATGAAGATAGTACCTAAGGTGAGTAATCTTCTTGCCCTCTGATTTTCTGTTTTATGGATAGTGTGATATCTGTAGTGAGTGATAAACTTTGAAACACTTAACCCTGCAAGAACAAAGTTAGGCATCTAACCTTGTTTTCATCTTCTTCATTACAAGGTAGACAAAAATACAGCAAGTCCTGGGCTGATAGGAATACCCTCAAGTACCGCATTAGATATTCTTAACATAATCAACCCTGGCCAAAATGCTTTTTAAGTGAATGAACTATCATAGTTCTTCCATTGTCCCTTGAGCAGAGTTTATGCTCAACCACCAGAGTCCTGGTATTCCATCTGTCTTATTACAGTTAACTTTAAATTTAACTTTAAACAAAAAGATGTATGTAAGTCTTGCGTCTAGATGATAAAATAACTTATAGTGCCCTATTATTTAAAAAAATAGAAACATGGAAATGCATGCCTGTAACTGAAATTTCACATTTATAGTATTTGCTTAAGTATGATTCAGCCTTTAGAAGGGGAAAGGTCAAATGGACACAAATCATGATAATAAGTAACTGTCCTTTCTGGTCAATAGGTGAATCCTGCAATCCAAGAAAATGAAGCCACCCGAGTCTGGTTAGATGTGAGAGCTTTGCAGATAACTGATAAAAGGACTCAATTTTTGGCTCTTTATATGTTTTCGCTCTGCCTGCAGCTTGACCTACGAGTAGTTGAATATTATGTCCATCTCCTAAAATGTCTGCATGTGGATGGTGACATCTGCTTCTATCCAACACGTAGTACACCTTCATGAAGCTTCTTTTAATTTTATGCCCTTTGAATGTATGCTTAAGTGTAGTGGGTCTATTAATAAAAGGCACAAGATATGTCATAGCATAGAAAAAATTGGTGCTATCTTTTATTCATTTAGTAATCAATTTATCAATAGCAATGAGATCTCCCTATCCAAACCCAATGTCTTCAACTGGCAAAGGGAAAAATGCAAAGCTTAGTTTAGAACCACGCTAAGTTAGTGTGGAAAGAGTTATTGGGATCAATGAATGAGATCATAATTCAAAGCACATTCTTTCTATTACAGAATCAGAAATATGCCTCTAAACTAAATTTCCTAGGAAAATGGCCTGAAAACAAAATTACCATGAAGCTTCACTACGACTAAGTGCTAAGGACGTTTTGAATTTAAGTGGCTACAGTACAAATATGGAATGGCTATTTCCTCATCCTACCGTTTTCAAACATGTTTCACAGAATTTTGCCTGCTTTGCAACATCTTAGATATATTTCACCTATTATCTTCCCTTTGTGTCTCTGGAATCTCATTTAGTGTAGTTTCAATTTTATTGTTGAAATTAGTTGATATACTGCTCTCATTCTCCTGTGGATCAAGTCACACAGAGGGGAAGGCTGAGATCATCCATTTCTACAAAAGTTGTAGACTTCCTACTTCTCTCTGTCTGTTCCTTTGCCTTTGTCAGGATGAGGTAAAGAAGTAGGAAAGGGGAAAATCACTCATTGTCAACTTGTGTGGTCAAATCAGACAGACCACTGACAAGGACTTTTTAAAAATGTTTTCCTTCTAATGAAAATAGAACTTTTTCCTCAAATGATATACCCTGATCACATGTTATTCACTTCCTTATATTCCTCACTGCTCCTTCTCCACTCCCAGTTTCTTCCCACCTCCCTTCCCATCTGGATCCAGACCCTTACTATATCTTATGTGAAAAGAAAATTTAAAAACAAACAAACTACTAAGGGAGGATGATTAATATAATCTATTTAATATAATGACATAAAACAAAACAATCACACAAGCAAAATCTTTCATCATATTGGATGAAGCAAACAGCAGGAAATGAGCCTAGCAGAGGTCATACAAAACAGAGGCCTATGTATTTTCACACTCTAGAACTGAATAAACACCCTAACTCTAAGGCAACACACACACACACACACACACACACACAAAGGACCTAGTACAGACCCATGAAAGCCTTGGGTCTCATGCACGCTGCTTCAGTCTCTGAGGGTTCATGTGTGCTTTGATCATGTCCATTTATAGGACCTTGTTTTCTTGGTGTCCTCTGTGCCCTCTGGCTCTTACAATCTGTCTGCTTCCTCTTCCACAGGCTCCCTGAGACCTGAAGGAAAGGATTTTTATGGAGACATCCATTTATGGCTAAGTGTTTTAAAGTCTCTCATTCTTTGCTCAATTCTGGCCATAGGTATTTTTTTCTCATCTGCCGAAAAAGGAAGCAGAGCCCTGGTCTATGAGTATAGATTGCTGGGATTGTTTTTTGCTTTTTGCTTGTTTGGTTCGTTGGGTTGGCTTGGTTTCTCTTTTTAGAACATTAGTATTGGTCTTTCTTTAGATCACTAAGTCTCAAGTTCTTGATCCCCTAAGTAATGTCAGATTCCATCTTGTGGAGTGAGTCTTCAGTCAAACCACTATGGTGACTCCCACAAGATTTGTGCCACCATTGTTGCAGCATAGCCTTCAGGCAGGGCACCATTATGGATCATGGGGTTTTTGAGCAGCTTGGAGTTTCTGTTTCTCATTTGCTGGCATTCAGAGTACCTGCCTGTACCAAAGCTACTAAAACATAGGGGCAAAGGTTCTCAGTAAGTAACAGCTCAACTTTCGCATGTCCAATGAGTTGTGTAGGTATTGTTTTCTGCAATGTGGCCTTGCTGTTTGCTTGTGGTGAGCAACCTATAGTCTTGGCAGCCATCTGACTTGTCTGGGTGTTCACATGGAACTTCTTGGTCAACAAATCAATTTGATATAACCCAGTCCCAGGATTGGAATCTGACAAGGTCTTTTCCCCCTTCTCTCATGGAACATAATAGTGTTTTCTCCAGATATCTAGTGAATGGCATACTTACTCAGAGAGATTACAAAACTAGATTTTTAATCCACTCCGGAGCTTTACCGTGAGACTCCCGTAGGTCTTCTCATCATGAATGCATGCTACTGAAGAAGAGTGGCACAGAGTGTGCTTTTTAACCAACTGAAACAGGAAGCCCACACATTAGAATCCCATCAGCAATGGGTAGCAACAACATACAGTCACTGCTGACCCCTTCTTGGGGTCCTGACAATTTCCTTCCTTTTCTGCTCATGTAGAAAATATAAGAAAATCACAGAGGTTTCTGGAAATGAGATGTCATCCCCTCTTAAAGTTCAGGATTAAATTTATCTAGGAAGACTATCCTAAAAGTAACTCACCCAGACATATCCTAAAATCCTGTCAACACAAATATGACCTCAATACAAAAGTAAGAAACTAAGAGTTCATCTTGTCAGCTACCTATAAGCAACCAAGGGTACAGGTTCACCTGATTGCCGCATCTCTGTAAAGAAAAGTATATTGCCAAGCTGTGTTTCCAGCAAATGCCAGGGATTTGCAAATGTATATATAGACAATTAAAGACTGCTCAGTCAGCATCTTGATAGACATAAAAGAAAAAGACTTTGATGGACAGAAGAAAATTGGGTAGTGGGGAAGAAAGCAAATAAAGGAAAAACCAAATCAGAAAATATGCAAAGAAACACATTATGAAGAACAACATACTGTTACAAACTTGAACTCACAAGAATTTCAACATATCTTGCACTTTAGACCCTGCTAGCAAATATTTTCTCTTTTTTCCCATGCCTTTTGTCTTCTCTCTTGTTTTCCTCAAAGTTTCGTTAGCTTTAGAAGTAAAGTTTCATAATCTACTTGATTCCTTGGCCTTAAAGAAAAACAAAGTGAGGCCACTCTCCAGGTCAGAATTCATGAAAAATTTGTTCTACACAATAAAAGTTCCTGCTGCTTTTATTCAGTTGTTCAGCCAAACAAATGGCTTTCATCATAGTCAAGGGTGCTGTTACCTGAAATTTTCCTGTGCCTCTGTCTAGGATAATTCCTATTGTGTAGAAAGTCATTATCTGAACTAAACTCTCAACCCGTCTCACTTTTTGAGTTCACACAATTTTATAAAACATGAATTTCACATTGTTATGTAAGTTCATAACAAGATTGAATTTTATACTCCGGTGTGTTGGCAAAAGGCCTATGTTCAATAGTGACATGTAACTAAAATCTAAACTTTTAGATAAGATTCACTATAACTATTTTTGTCAAACCTAATTATACAAAGAGTAGCTAGAAAATATATTTCAGAAAAAGATAGCAACCATTCTTGCTTTCAGGAGGGTTAGCGTACAATCTATGGATTTCCATTTAAGATGACAAGGATTACCAGCAGAGATATTAAAACAGGAACAAACCAGTGCTAGAAAATGTTTGCTCTGATAAAATGAGAAATTAAATATCCGAAGCACATACCAAAAGAAGAGGTAAAAATACCTTTTGTTATATGTTGGTTGGCCGTTTTGCTTTGCAGCCTTTATTATTTCTTGTGACTGACTTTGTTGACTCCCCGTGGGAGGCCTAACTCTCTCTGAGGAGTAGATGGAGAGGAAAGATACAGGGAGCAGAGCAGAGAAGGGGAACTGGGATTAGTATGTAATATAAAAAAGAGATTGTTTTAAATAAAAAAAATTAAAAAAAACCTGCTGTTGTCTTCAGCTGTCCCTCTGGGGGTTAAGTGACTCAAGCCTTCATCTGGAATATATTGTATGTGGAAGCCTCAGTGTATGAAGATGAAATAATTAACAAAATACGAAAAACTACCTTTCTGTCAGGAGTTTAACCGAACTTTGTGGGGGATATATAAACATTTAAATTATTGTACAAGGTAAAGGATACTGCTAAAAACAAAAAAAGCTACAAAATCAATCAGAAAATAGCAAGTGAAACCAAACTATTGCCCAAGTTTCAGGAATTTGATGGTGTGAGGTGAAGTTGTAAAGGTGTTATAGGGTAGTGGTTCATCACAATGGGCAAACAAGCCATCCACTGTCATTCTATAACATACCTTCATTTCCAGTGAGAAAACTGAGTCTTATTATTATATGTTGTTAGTAAGCAACTAACCTTTATTTTTAAGAAGATATTGTTTCATCTATAGGTGCTTCTACAGGGTGATAATGTGCTTTGCGTTACAATGGATGGCGTATCAATTTTGAGTTTGAGCTCAACCTATAGGCAACATATTTTACTGCAAGAAAGCAACACTCCTAGAACTCGAAAACACAGATGTTTATCTGGTGAAGAGCTACAAGAATGTGTAGGTAGCAGAAAAACGAAAAACTAAGATGGCTGAAAATCAGCTGAAATACAAGGCTGACACTAAGAGAAATTTAGCAAAGGCTCCTCAACGAGGGGTGAATCAAAGGACATAGGAGCCGTAGAGGCATCAGCAGGCTGTGGCTGTAGTTAGGGAGATACTGAGTAGATAAAAAGGATGAAGAGACTCCATGAATGTAATCATGATTGGAAACTAGGAGAGAGGATGAAGATAATTTTCTGATTGGTTTTACCTGAACTTAATTTGTGTGTATGCCATTCACTTTGCACCAAAAAATCACAAAAACTGTTCCAGCTTAGGTAAATCATGCATATTAGAGTCAAAGGTAGTATATGCTGTGCCACAGGAAAAGAGTTCCTGCTGCTCACCAATGATGCATTATAAGTCACTTTTATTTTCAGTGAGTTTGAACTAGATGAAGGAATCTGATACTCTTCTGACTTCATTCAATTTTCAAAGAGTTTGTGATTCCTTATGATACAGGATAACTCAAAGCTCACGTTTAAAGCCTTGATATCCAGGCTTTGGAACTATACTTAGGTGCTAAAAATTTAAAAGATGTTAGAAGCAAGTTAAGTCATTGCTGTGTGCATCAAAAAAGGAATCTTTCTCTCTCTCTCCCTCTCTTTCTCTCTCTCTCCCTCTCTTTCTCTCTCTCTGTCTATCCCCTCTGTCCCATCAACTCATCGAGTCTAGTTTTTGTTAACTGACCACACAGGCATGGGGCCTGTCCTAGTGTGTGGTTGATATACTAGGTGTCACACTACTGAACCCATCTGACCTTCTCTCTTCTGGTAGCAATTAGGTACCCATAGTTCCTCAGCAAAGAGTTGGACTTGGTGCCTACTTCCAATCTCCTTGCTAGGATTTTCCCTGGCTTGAATTCTTGTAGATCTTTTGCACATTCTCAGTGTCTGTGCTTCCGCATACCTTGCTGGATCTGGAAAATACTTCTGCTTTGAAGTCATTCACTGCCCCTGGGTTGGTCCTTCTCCCATGATGATCCTGGAAACTTAAGGGAAGGCCGATGAAATAAAGATATCTCATTTAAGGTCAAGCACTCGGAAGTTTCTTCTTTTCTGAACATTGACAAGTTGTAAGTCATCACCCATGTTTCCATCGTCAACAGATCACCTGCGGACAAATTTTAATCTCATTATCACAAGAGAAACACAGAAATGTAAATGGAAGGACAACATGATTGCTCTTCAAGCTCCCAATTTCTCTAACACTGAACTCAAGGATTACAATAGAGAAAGTTTGTTCATGTTGAATATAAGTGGCTAGAATATAAATCAAGGTTGTAACTTGCTAAAGTATTTAAGACGGGGTTAATAAGGAAAACGTTAAAAGGAGTCATCGAGAGAAGAATTTTGGGAAGTTTGGTGTGGCATGAAAAGAGCATGTCTTGTGAAAGTTTGAAAGACCTTTGGAAGAGACACGTGTTTCTTAAATACTATAATGTGTAGAGGACGGTTCTCTAAAATATTATTGCTAATTGAACAGGGCTTCATGGCAATCTTAAAATTTATCAGACATGGGGGGCAAGAGAGCGCAGGTATAGAGATAGTAGTATTAAAGTGAAATGCATTAGCTTAAGTGGTAATGGGTAATTATGTCTAAAAAATATTGTACCGTGTACATTTTGTGCTGACAGTCATTAAGCTTGTGGTCATTGACCTATTGGGATACATGGTGCATGCGAGGTAGGATATCACCTAAGGACATGGAAGAAAGTGGAACTTCTGTGTTCGTTGGAAATAGGATCCTTTGGTTCTTGGCCCTTTTAGAAGAAAACTGTGGATTTTAAGTAGTGGCTGATCATACGCCAGTCACACGCAGGTGTTCTGACAATGTCCTGTGTGTAGGTGAAAAGGGTCCATTCCGCTATTAACTCTTGACCAGTACAGTGCGAACTTTCTACACTAAGGCTTCTCACCTGATCCGTTAATGGTTCTCAAGATGATGAATCCTAATGACACCTGGGTAAAAAAAAAAAAAATTATACAAATTCTATTATGTTATTTATTTATTTTACAGCTCCACTGTGGTTTCTTCTCCCTCCTCTCCTCCAAACCCCTTCCCTCTAATTCCCCTCTGTTCCAACCCCCCATCCACCTCTGCTCTATTTCAATTCAGAAAAGGGAAGGCTTCCTAGACACATTAACAAAACAGAGCTTATCAATTTGCAATAAGACTAAACACCTTACTTAGGATTAATGCTAGGCAAGGCAACCCAGTATGAGGAATAGAGCCCCCACACCAGGAAAAGAGTCAAAGACCGCACTTGTTTAATGCACAATTAATAAGTGCTCAAAGACAAAAAATTGGGGTTAATCTGAAGGCTAGAAAAGCAAAACAATCAGTCACTGGCTCTTACCTCTATCTCAGTTCAAAATGCCCATCCTGCCTCCAGGAATTGTAGAATGAGACTGAGACTGAGAGCTGTCTCCTTCCATTTTATAATCCTCTCTAGTGCTGGGATTAAAGGCATGGGCATACACCAGTAACACCTGGTTTCTATGACAAGCTAGTGTGGCTACTGGGATTAAAGGCATGTGTCACTGCTACTTGGTCTGCAAGGTTGGCCAGTGTGACCGTTTTACTTTTCTGATCCTCAGGCACATTTTGTTTATTAAAAGAGAAATAAAATGCCACTACACCTGCTCTCACAATTATGAGTTCTACCAGAAGACTAAGCTACACAACTGCCACATACATGCCAAAGGTCTAGATTCATCCCATGCAGACATGCTGGTTGTCAGTTAAGTCTCTGTGAGCTCCTGTGAGGTGATTATTTGATTCTGTGGATTCTCTTGTGATGTCCTTGACACCTTTGGCTCCTACCAATCCAGCCATATAACTTTTGACCTACGGTCTGTCCTGTCTATGGGATATGTTGAAGTAAAAGTGACTCAGAGGTTGTGGGAGTAGCCAACCAATGACTGGTCTATGTTCAAACACATGCCATGAGAGTGAGCCCTCCCCTGACACTGCCTGCCGTGCTAGGACCCAATGGCTAGATGACCCAGAGACCTAGAATAGAACCAAACATAACTGGGGACAAATCAATGTGAACATAGTGATGCCTAATGATGCTCTGCTATAGTCATAAATTGGAGAGTGGCTCAATTGTCATCAGAGAGACTTCACCCAGCAGCTGATAGAAACATGCAGAGACCCAAAACCAAGCATTAGGCAAAGCTTAAAACATCCTTCTAGAGAAAGGGAGAAAGGACTGTATAAATTAACCTTTATTACTGTAATGAAACACCCAACAAAAGAAACTTTGGTGAGCAAAGGTTTATTGAGGCTTGTTTATCAAGGGATATAGCTTATCATGGCATAAATGGTGAGGTGACTGGTCACATTGCTTGTCTGAGACACAGTTGATAAATGTAATGGGGCTATCTACATTTTCGATGAATCACTACCCCTGAGGGACTCAGATGATAGGAATATAATCTGTTGGAACTGCCTTGGAAATTGATACAGAAGTTTCTTAACCATCATAGTATGGGTAAAATTACTTCATCTTGTCTAAAAGTATCTTGCTCTGCTATAATCACTTCGGTTCTTGACTTAGCATCAACAATGATATTTAACATGACTAAAAGGTAAACATTCCTGCAAATTGTATTTCTCCAACAACTTGTATTTTGGGATGTACCACGGTTCCAAAATGTGTGGTGCTGTTCCCTCTATTGTCTTCCACATTTACTGATTTTATAGATGGTTGCAGTTGTCTACAGCTGTGAAACAGTAGATGGAGGCATGATTGAACACACAATGTTTGCAAAAATGGGTATTATCATTTAATGCTGACCATAACCACACTAAACAGATGCGAACTGATGTTGGCATTCAGTATATAAGGTTTTTTAGAAAGTTACTAATTTAGTACTAAGAAATGAAAAGTTCTATGGTTATATCAGTGTTTTCTCCAGGTACAAAAGTTGAGGATGGTCACTTCTTTATTTAGGCCTCTGCAAGACAGTGCTATTCTCAATGAGGCATCTGGTTTCTTTATTTGGAGTCCTTCTTAATTAGCAAAGGAATGGGTTATTTGAGAAGAATTCACATGCTCAACTTAGTCAGTAGGTAACAAGTCCTTTCTTCCATTCTACACCCATTATCTTTCAGAACACTTTCTGATCCTCATGGCCTTTACACTGTTCTGTAGTCTATGTCTTTTCAATGATAGAATTGTCTACAGAAAGTTTCAAAGACTGGGTGAAAATATCTACTCTGTATTCTCTCTTTTTTTATAATCTAATATATTCAGCTTATATTTCAAATTTGAAAACAAGGCTCTCCAATTCTGGTATACATTATGACCTCAGCAGAAAAGAATGCACAACACTTTCACTAAATTGTGATGATTGATATTTGGGGCAAATAATACCCAATATTGTAAATGGCACATCATTTTTATCCTCTTTTTATAAGTCCAACAACTGTTGCTCAGTGCTCCAAAAGTATTTGGAGTTTTCATTGGTTAGATGTTCACCAAAGCACCACATTTTTTATTCAGTCAATAGCAGATCATAACTTTTACCTCTTCCTGTAATCATTGAATCATTAGTCAGATATTATAATGACTTGGTGGCTTCTTATTAGCTGTTCAGTAGTGAAGCCCAATTGACCATGAATGTAATAGAGAATATTGACAATGCATTTGATATACACCACATTCAATCTAAGAAATTTGTAATGATAGGCCTCTTGCTATGTTTGCACATTAGAAGAAATCTTACCAGGACCAATGTGGACAATTGTGTAGTGTTGCCTGAGTTTCATAATTCCAGATGTCACTAAGAGACTTATTCATTTCAAATGAAGGCAATTACCAAATAAGTCAGATGTATATGTTCAATCAATAGTCATTCAGCATTTGGTGTAAGTGCAGCTAAACATGCTGTATTTAATTTAGGACCAGCCCCATGAGGAGAATCTGTATTTATTTCTGTAGTCTGGATAATGCTAGACCAGGGATATTCTGAATCCTTCAGGAGAGCCCTTGATATTTTGTTAAGTTCATGTGAGTTACTCACATAACAGACCCCCTTAAGCTCCTGCATTTGCACTTTATATTACTCTTGTTACGTGCCTAGTGTGGAGAAACAAACAAACAAGCCACAGACATTGGCTGAAATTTCAAAAGTTAAATTTCTCAATATGGGTGACTCTTACAGTGGCCTGTGTTCTAATGTTCAGAAAAACACTGAAAAACCTATGTCCTCTCATCTAAGATCCAGTGAACATTTACAAGAGGTGATGGGAATAGAGAAGGAACTGGAGAAGAGAACGCAGGTCCAGGAATCACTGTTTTCTGATAGCTAGAGGTTGACTTTAGACTTCATGGAACAAAGAAAGCTCTGGTGCTTTGCAGTTTAACTAACCCTCTAGACATGGCCCTCATATTCTCTAAATTATGCTCAAATGACTGCTTTAGTCATCATGGCAATGAGATGCTTATCCGTAAGGAGGAAGTATGGTGGAATCCTCATCTAGATTCCAAAGTTTGCTTCCTTTTGTACCCAAGCCTTAGGGATGCTGTGCTCTACTATATAAGAGGTAGGACTTCAGCGAAACAGTTGTCCCGGAACAGCAGACAAGCTGTGCCGAAACTTTACAGGGATGCTGCTGCCTTCCACCAAGCCATGCTTCTGTAAGTAATCTTTCTCTTAACCTCCTCTAAGTGAGTTCAAGTAGTGTATTCTTTTACAACACTTGTTTGGACATCTTATATTTTGGTGTCATCTTTGTGCAGTCTAAGTGAATGGACATTTGTTCCTGCTTAGCCAATATGAAAATACAGAACTAAGAAACACTTTCTAATCATTGCTCAAAAAATAAATGCAGCGTATATCATTAGATTAGCGAGGGTTCTTAAAAGATAATCTTCTTTACCTCTAGACATGGAGAAATGTCTAGAGGTGTTTTGCATTTTCTCTTTCTTCTTTCTTTCTTTCTTTCTTTCTTTCTTTCTTTCTTTCTTTCTTTCTTTCTTTCTTTCTTTCTTTCTTTCTTTCTTTCTTTAGACAGGGTTTCTATGTAGCTTTAGAACTTGTCCTGGATCTAGCTCTTGTAGACCAGGCTGGCTTCCAACTCACAGAGACCCACCTGCCTCTGCTTCCTGAGTGCTGGAATTAAAGAGTAATTGAGTTCAGGTAGAAAAGAAGAATATTGCCAGCATCTAATCATAGGAACAAGAGTTGTTTATACACAGAACTCAAATGTGCAAGAGAGGTCCAGATAATGGGATGATAAATCTTCTAAAGTTAAAATTGCTTACATATATTCATTTACTGGAATGAGATTGTCAGAATCATGGGCTGAATTTCTAACAACTTCAGAAGGAAGAAAGTAACATCTTCTCATTTTTAATTTTTTATGGGCTGTTTTACTGGAATGCACTTAATCACAGTACCAATTATGGGGACATAATAGGTAAGGTTAGCAGGTGTGTAGCTATACATCTTTGACAATGTAATTCAAGTAAAATACTCTTGCAAAATATGGAATTATACTATTATTTGCTTCTATTTTGATAATATTTCAAAGTAAAATGAATCACTAGCAAGCACAGATATATTGAGACAAGGTCTCCCTATAAAACTTTGACTGATCTAAAACTCACTATGTAAACCAGGTTGATTTCTAAGTCAATGAGATCCATCTGCCTTTGTCGTTTAAATACTGAAGTTAAAACTGTGCTTTGCCATTCCTAGTCTTAAATTGTATTTTATGAAATGAAAAGCCAAAACCATTTATTGTTTTATACTAATCTTAGACTTTAAGTTCTTCAAATGATAAATGGAAGGAAATTATACCTATATCTATTTAAAACATAAATATCTATCATACATAATAATTTGGGGAAAGCACATGGATCATTGTATATTTGCTTTCTACAATAGGAATTATCTAAAAATAATATGTACTTTGAATGTGAAATATTGATGGTTATTTTGTATGCTACATAGTTATTTTTATCAATTATTTTGAGTATTTGAGTCTAGATGTTTTCCTTGAATAAAACTTACCAGTTCCCTAATTTTCTGTTACACATTTCAATTGGATTATCTAAGGTTCTGCAGATCAGAAGTGTTTTCAGACTAATGCCACTAAAGGTAAGTAGATATTTCATTTTGAAACATAACATTCTGTGTCATTTTGTTGGGCATGCAAATTATTGACACATTAGGATTCTGTGTTTATCCATTAGTAAAAGTTAAATTGGATAAATTGATGTTGAAACCATTTTGATCATTGCAGGAATGCTAATTTAAAGGATGTTGGTTTACAAAGCAAGAGAAGTAGATACAGTCAACGTTACTAGGTCTACTTTGATCAAGTGATCAAGTGGAAAATCATTAAGCCTTTTAAGTATTCTCTTCATCAATATAATTTGATGATATTGCATAGGATCAACCTATCTGCAGAATTATTATTAAACCTGTAAAAACTTATGACAAACTGCTAATGCATGAAAGCATTTTGGTAAGTTTAAAAGCAGACTGTAGGTCCTCTAAATTATAGGATTCCCTTCAAACTCAGTATTGGACAATTGACAATAATACACTTATTCTTGTTAGGTACAATAATGAAGAAAAGCCAGCAGTGTTGACCTTGTCCTGATGTGAATATTGCCTACTAAATCCAACACAGTCTTTGAGAGATTAACCAATGAAAATTATGACAAAATTCCCAAGACATAAAATTATCTACAAAATGACTCCAAAGTATTCACGCACAGTTAACTTAGAGTATAAATGTTTGAAAGTTTCTGATATCAGTACAAAATGTGGGAAATCCCTGTTTTTACCAAACTATAGAAATGTGCAACTTATTTATTTAATTATATTTGCACAGTGGAAGATACTGATTTACTCTCACAGCTGGACAGCACCAGACCATACAGTGGCAGGAACTGTGGACAGATAAAATTACTCTTGATAAGGAGGAAGAAGTACCATTGTTAACCTCAGATAAATTGATCTCCATCTCCCATTTCTATAAAGCAGGAACACTCCTCTTGATACTGGTATTAAATTTGCTTCTGTGGGAGAATGTTGCCTCTTTGCCTGTGAATGTCCGTGGAACTGGAAATGGTCAAGTCTACCTCCAGGACCTGTTCAATCATGCCATCAGGCTGTCTTATAACATCAGTGAACTCAATAGGGAAATGCGCAAGATGTTTGTAAGTACCGCGCTTACTTATTGCTTCTTCCCAAAAGGAGCCTTTTTGTCAATAATTATACTGTAACACATTTAAAATAATTGTAAACCAAATTTATAATTTAATAACTAACACAGATTTAAAAAAAGCTACTGAGAAGTGGAATATGAAGATCAGGATAGTTTCATGAAAACTCATGGTTTTACAAAGCATTAAATGATTTTTGAAATTGTTTCTACTTAATGATTAAAAGAATATCAGTTTGAACCAATAAAGAACAAGAGGTTAAATAATGCAGTTGTATTATGATGGTGTTTGGCTCAAATTATTCAGAAAGGTTACTGGTAAAACACAATTGTCACATGAAACCCTAAAAGATGCAGCTGGGAAACTGCTCTGGTTTTCTCGTCTATTTTCACACGGTCTCCACCGATATCTTCCCTTTGGCATCGTGCATAGCCAATAGAGGATCAGTGCATTGCATTGAGCACAGTGGAACTAAGAGATTGAATCTATATTATGTGATTCAAGAATAGAAAAGAAATATTAGCTTTCCAGAAACTCCTCAATGCCAGGAGTCACAGTTTGAAGATTTCAGTGGATGAGTCATTCAGCGGGAGTGATTGAATAGAAGTGAAAAAGGTTTAATCATTTTGATATCTGCATATTAAGATACCTGTTTCAAGCCAGTTATTGTTGGGATGTGGTCATAGACATGACTTCAGTAAAACAATGACCACTTAATAAATGTGTTTCTGAAGCTATAATAAATTTGCATTCATGTTGCTTTTTACTTATAACTTATTTCCTTTCCCTGATTCTATCTCAGTTCGTCAGTGACTTCTCTTCAAACAAATTCCTTAAATTTGTAAGTACCTCGTTTATTTCTATCCCCCCTCCCTGTAAAACCTTTATGTTCATGGCTTCATTACAATTTAAGTAAGAAAATGTCATTAACCAAATACATTTCGCAGGTAAAAGATGCCACTGCCATTATAAAGCAAACAGACATTTTTCCCCCCAGAAGAATGGGAAATCTTCAGGAAATCCCACTTGAGGAGAATGCTATGATTTCTCATTTTCTCTAAATCCATGTATTTTAAAGTTTTATTTGTATTTGTACCTGAGATACCAAGCTGGAAGAATTGTGGCAGAGGTAGAAACATCATATTTTGGTCTTGTTTAAACGGAGTTACAATTGTGTTGTAGTTCTTTATGTGTAGGAAACAGAAGTACACTGAACTAAAACTATGTCATAGAGACGCACTAGCTTTTTTTTTCTTCAGAAACCCCCAATGCTACCAATAAATCCTTATTTAAAGCTCTCCAGTGCTAGAGTTCATTCAGTAGGAGCACTAACTGGCAACTAAAAATAGGCTCTCTCCCACTGACCACCTGTTGTCTGTTCAAGGTCGGTCAGTGGGAAGAAGAAAACAGGATGAGACTTGAGTACAGCAGTAGACGTGAAGAGATTGTCCCTGACTTTACAATAAATACTTGTTCATATTGTCTTTTTATTCATGAGTTTCTCATTTCTCATTCTTGACTGACTTTTTTCACATTCTTAATATTCCTGATAATCCATTAAAATTTTGCACATTAGCTGAATATTAGTTTTAGATAACATTTATTTTTATAGTATATGTAAGTAACTATATTCAAAGATAACATATAAGCAATAATTAATGATTTATCGCTTTCAATTTTTCTGTCTTATTTTCTGGAAATAGTCAGTTTGGTATGCTTATTTTTGTTAAATATGATGCAATTCCAGTCAGGATTCATGATTAAGTGTGAATGGTACATATACATATATTCACTGGGAAGGGAAAGAAAATGTGTAGATTTACAATGCCCAGATAAAAGAAATATATTAATTTGGATTAGCAGGAAACAAATACATACAGATAAACATTTACTGAAGCATTAGACTCAAATCAAAAGAAAAATTGTTCTTAAAATATGTTGTGTTTTGTGCTTTTTTCATTTCTAAGGCCTTTTATTATTATAAAAATTTTGGAATTAGTGGCAGAATAAGAGAAAAGTAAATAGGAATGGATGACAGATTAGAAAATTAGATGAAAAACTAAATTAGATTGCTTACCTTAAAAAGGGAAAACGTGGTTACAGATTCCCTCTCTTCATGGTAGATTTTACGCAGTGTTTATTTGTAAAAATTACACAAATAGTTAATAATATTCTGGTCACACGTTCATTTACTCAATTTCCAAATTCTAACAAACTTCATTTCTTTTTTATTGTTTGCAGATGTTAGAATTGAACAAGGAAGAGGAGAATATGCCCAAGATGCTTGACAGCTGCCACACTCCTCCCATCAACACCCCAAAGACAATACAGGAATCCCGAAAGTTAGCAGTGAGTTTTCATTTAAACCGCTGAAACAGTGCACACTAACTTTGGCATGCTGTAGCTTTCTTAAGTACTACAACAGATGTGGTAATCATAGGAGCACAAGCAAGGACTACGAGTGAGCAGTGGAATAAAATCATGATACCCAGTTGATAAATTATAGAAAATCAATTGTTAAATAATATTGTGGCAGATCTCCATAAACTGATCCTTTAGAGGATCTGGTTTCACTGATGTTTTGTCAGTGTAAATTGACTTATTTTTCTATAGGAAATTTTGAGTGGAGTAGGACATCCCTATATACACAGATATTCAGTGAATACCTAATATAAACAAAAACAGTTGTCTTCATTGTGTATCATTGGCACCTTTTTCATTCCTGACTACCATGGTAAGTCTTCTTTATCTCAAGACTGTCCTGATTCTACAGCTCCTTCTTATGCATGTGTTCAGTCTTCTATGAGTTTGTACTTAATTGAAGGCACCTGAACAAGGGGTTCAGTAAAATCAATGTAATTAATGTTCCTCAGAAGGAACTCAAGACCCCAGTTGTGATGAGAAACTCTGTATAGTACAGAGAATGTAATTTATAATTGTTATGACAGATGAGTTGGAATTTCCTAATATAAATTACCCTCTAATAAATTGATTTAAACATCATGTGAAAATAGTAAATGAAACTGTAGGAAGAAGAGGTGAATGAAGAAAAATGTGTGTAGAGACCTACCCCATGACTAGACAGTCCCCAAAGTCCTTTATTGATATTCTTTCAATTACCCTCCTAAAAGATGACTGAGATGAGGAGCTAGAGTTTGAAAATATTCAAAGAATTTAAAACACATGTATGTTGTCAGTGTGGAGTGTTGGCTGTAATGTAGCTCAAGTCCTTGCTCCAAATCACATAACACAATGCTTCCAACAGCTGATTTTACATTACTATTTGAACTGTTCATTTGTTCTCCATCTTTTATGTCTTTCTGTTGTAATAGCAGTTGAATTCCTTTCTACTCTTCACAGAAGCACCCCTAAACGTATTGAAAAACCATAGCAAAGTTTTAAAATTATGAAATGAGTTTCTTGTATGAAGTTGGCAGTGATTATACACTGGAGCATCAAAATTCCATTGCCATTTGTATTAATGCTGTTATTAAAGACAGAGCATTGGAATGTTTTTTTTTTAACCTGCATTTACTATCTAAAGTACCAATTATCTAAAGAGAAGGGAAAGAGAAGGGGAATCATAGAGACTGAGAGAAGTACATTTATTAATATCAGGTTGTCCTAATAATATTTTTACATTTATCCTAAAAGAGCAGTAAAATACATATGATTTCAAACAATATACCTTACTTGTTTTATAAATCTAGTAGAATGATATGTTACTGAGAATGATGGCATGTATCTTTCCTAAATCAAGTTCTTTGGGAATGTACTTCATTTTTACAAAGCCTTAGATTCTCATGACAAACAAAACAATCTAACACAAGAACAATGGCAATGGGTTTTTGACCCTACTGCACGTACTGGCTTTGTGGGAGCCTAGGCAGTTTGGATGCTCACCTTACTAGACCTGGATGGAGGTGGGTGGTCCTTGCACTTCCCACAGGCAGGGAACCCTGATTCCTCTTTTGGCTGACGAGGAAGGGGGACTAGATTGGGGGAGGGGGAGAAAAATGGGAGGCGGTGGTGGGGAAGAGACAGAAATCTTTAATAAATAAATAAATTAATTAAAAAAAGAACTTAGAGGGTATTTAGATTGTAGGATTCAGATGGAGAACAAAACATAATCAATATAAAACTCATTTTTAAATGTAATTATTTATACAGCATAACATTTTATTTTATTAAGATGTAGTTATAAATTTCTAAAGTTCAGAACTCTACCCCATTTTCATATATAAAAATTTCCATTAGATTTGCAAATGGGTATTTTAGTTCAGCCTTTCCGATTGATTACACATCAAATGTAACCAATCTTTCTGTATTTCATTTCTCTTAATGGAATTCGTCAATTATGGACGTATAGCTTGAAGACTTTCTGATAATAATTTTGAATCTAATGGGAACGTGGAAAGAACCTCTACACTACCAAGTGACCAAACTCAGTGGTATGCCAGGAGCCAATGAAACTCTCATGTCCACAGCAAAAAATATTGAGGCCCAGAGCAAAGAACTTCTAGAACTCACCAAATGGATACTCAATATGGTAAACAGTCTTTTTTTTACTTTAATTTTTTTCTTTTGTTTTATTAAATTTTTTTAATTAAAAATTTCTGCCTTCTTCCCGCATCCCTTTTCCCTCCCTCCTTCCCCACTCCCCATGCCCCACTCCCCTACCCCTCCCTCTCCAGTCCAAAGAACAGTCAGGGTTCCCTGCCCTGTGGGCAGTCCAAGGTCCTCCCCCCCTCCATCCAGGTCTAGGAAGGTGAGCATCCAAACCAGCTAGGCTTGGTAAACAGTCTTCTTAAAAGTCCACTTTTCTCCTTCATGAAGCTGACTACTTTTGAATTATCCATCTTGAAATGTCCCACTTTGGAAGAACAAAATTTAGTCAGCTTATCTTGTATGTAGCCTAGAGTCACTTGAGGAATTATCTTGGCTGGGTTTCTAAAACTGTGGTTTTAAAAAAGAAATGACCAAAAGAAGCTTGGGAAGGAAAGATATATTTTTTTTTCCACTTACACTTCTACATCACTGTCCATTACCTATGGAAGCTAGGCAGGAACTCAAGGCATAAACCTGAAGCAGAAACCGTGGAGGAATGCTTACATGCTTTCTCCACCCGTTTCTTTATACAACTCAGGATCACCTGCCCAGGAATGGCACACAACATACCTGCACAGTACCCTGTAGACTTGCCTCCAGGCAATATGCTGGATGTAGGTTTTCAACTGTGGTTCCTCTTCTCAGATAAGTCTTGCTTGTGTCAAGTTGATTGAGATGGATCAACAGTCAAGAGCACTGACTGATTTTACAGAGGACCCTGGCTGGCTCAATTCCCAGCACCCCATGTGACAGCTCAAAACTGTAATTTTAAGATCGGACACCTTTTCATAGACATATATGAAGGCAAACCACCAATGCACAAAAAATAAAATAAAATAAGTGAAAAACACAGCAATGGGAATTAACATAAAAGTTGAACTATTTCTCACAGCTGTTTGGACACAGACAATACCTATAAGCATCTGTTGGTGTTGTTGAAACACTAGGCTGTGTTGAAATAATGCTTTTCTGCTATTTCATCTTCCTAGACTTAAAGGAAACAATTTATCACCCCTAAATTTAATGTAAGAAAATATGGACATGTGCTGGAAATCTAGATTGTCTATACCTAACGATGTCAGAGTCCCCAATACTAGATTCATGAAAGTCAATGTCTAAGAATGAAATTTCCCATTATTAATGTATCTCTAAATACAATTTACTATTCAAAAGGAAAAATGACTAACAAATACACACAGTGTAAATAATCGATGACTGACTATCATTTTGCCACTAGGTTCACCCTGGCATTGAACATGAGGACTATGCTGAATGGTCAGATCTGAAGTCTTTGCAAGCCGCTGATGAAGAAACTGGCCTCTCTGCTTTATTTAAATTGTCCTTCTGCTTGGGAATTGACACGTACATGGTTGACCTTAATCTTAAATACCTGATATGTGTGTTTGTTGGTGGCAATACCTGCTCATTCTCAAGGTTTAGATATGATCCATATGATCCATTCTTTTGATAATTTGTTTTTTATTTTGTACATTTGAAAGCATACATTTGCACAGAGCATATCTTATGCATAAAATAAAATTGTATATTAAATAAAATATTACATTTACAAAGCACAAGAAAATTTGTCTTCAGCTTTTTTCCCATTTAGAACTAAATGTAACAATAACATTGAAACACTGATCACAAACGACATGTGATTAGGAAATTCAAGCAATTTATAACCTAAAGTCATAGTAAAATAATGTTGGTAAAGTTGTAAAATTAAAATATGAGATCTAATTAAAATTCCAGCAAGCTACTTATAACATGGACATATTGGTATATCTTAAGAACACCAGGCATGTCTTTAAACCAAGTGCCAGTGAAATGACAGAAAATACTATTCCCACCTGATTGTAGTATGGTGGAGTTCTAAGAATTTTCTGAAATGAAAGTGGTTGTTTTTAAAGATAGGATGGTGCAAGATTTCTCTAATAACTCTCTTCAGCCATGCTCTTCTTTTGGGCACCCACAAAAACACAGGCAACAGATAAGTTCACACTAGGAAACTTCCCAAAGAAGGGAAACACAGAAACATTATAACCGAAAAATAACAGGAATTAACAATCACTGGTCATTAGTATCTCCTAATATCAATGGACTTAGTTCACCTATAAAAAACACATGATGGAGGAAGGTCATTGAGCAATAAAGAAACTGCTTGGCTGGCCCTGATAGGTTAAAACATAGGTGGGAGGAGTAAACAGGAGGAAGTGAGGTAAGACTCCTCAGTCAGACTCTGCTCTGCTCCCGGAGAGACCCGACAGCTCTGCTCTCTGGAGCAGAGACGCCATGCTCAGCTCTCCCGGGTAGACTCAACAGCTCTGCTCTTTGGAGCAGAGATGCCAAGCTCTGCTCTCCCAGGCAGCTTCGACCCAGGAGGGACATAGGCTAGAATCTTCCCGGTAAGTGCACCTTGGGGCGCTACAATTATTAGAAATGGGCTAGTCCAGGTGTGAAAATTAGCCTGTAAGGGCTAGAGTTCATGGCCAAGCGGTGTTTAAATTAATACAGTTTGTGTGTTGTTATTTCGGGCATAAGCTAGCCAAGCCGCAGGGGTGCTGGGGACGCAGCCCCGCCGCTCTTATTTCAACAAACATAGGCTAAGAGAATGGATACAAAAGCTGGATTCATCCTTCTGCTGTATACAAGAGACACACCTCAACCTCAAAGACAGATATTACCTCAGAATAAAGGGTTGGGAAAAGGTTTTCCAATCAAATGGACCTAAGAAACAACCAGGTGTAGCTATTCTAATATTGAACAAAATAGACTTCAAATGAAAATCAATCAGAAAAGATGGGAAGGACACTTTATACTCATGACAGCCATGTTCTTTGAAACTTTCATTTTCTTTGACTCATCTTTGACACATTCAATATGTTTTCTTCTCTCTGTTTCTGAGTCTCCTTTGTTCTAAATTCAGTTTAACTCATAATAATCACTTAATACATCTATGTTCTCTTTTGGCTCAGATCATATTCAGAAAAGCAGAGATGGTCACTTTCTACAGTGCTACACTTACTGTTTCTTGATTCTTTTCCTTTGACTTTGTCAGAATAGGAAGGAGGCTTAGGTAAAAAAGAAGGTTCTCACTATTTGGTGATAACAAAGACTTACTGCCGACAAAAATAAATTCTCTCTAAGTAGCAGTCAACTCATTCATAGAGCACACTAGTGCTTGCTCAAAACACCTACTAGAGAGGACTTCAAGTTACACTATATTTATCAACATATTTCCTCCTACTAGGCTTTTCTATCCACTCCACACCTCAGCCATCTGCCGCACCCTCTACTGCCTGTGCTAAAGATTCCCCTCCTCTTTAAGGAACACTACCAAAGAAAATCAATAAAGGTGTGAAATCCACCAAATGACACAGAAATATGCCAGAGGACTTCTTCAACAGTCCAATGATAACTGCGCTGGACCACAGTTGACTTCTTCTTGGCGTTGTTACCAGTTCTCTCTTTCTCCTGTTTATATGTAGACATTTGTTGTGAGGTCACTGTTCTCAATATAAAGTTTAAACACCTAATATTCTATTTATGTTGTGTGGTGAGCAGTGTTTGGTTGAGGGAAATTCACCTTGTTAACTGTCTCTAAGAAACCTAGAATGTGAACTTTTCAACTGAAAGATCTCCTTAAAAAAAATTCAGTGACTAGGCTGTATTTCCTGTGAAAGTCAGGGGGTTTCAAAGATTCTTAGACAATGAGAGACAACAACATTTTGACAGATAGAAAAAGAAAAGAGTAGGATTAAAAAGCAAATGCAAAAACAAAGCTGTATTGTGAGAAAGAAGCAAAAAAAAAGAAAGAAAAAGAGAAAGAAAACCAATAAAAGACATGATAGAAAGGGTATTGTGCTGTTACAATACCAAAATACAGAGAAACCTAAAACTACCTTAAATTTTAGACCCTCATAACATTCATAATGCCTCTACTCGTATCCCACATATTTTGTTTCATTTCTTGATTTATTGAATGTTTAATTTAAATTTGAATATTATATTTTTTGTCTATTGAAATGTTAAATCTTTCAAGTAAAAGAAAGCTAGACCATTCTCCATATTAGAAGTCAAGAAAAAATTTTCCCACATAATTTTGATGTTCATTGTTCAACCAGACCAATTTCATCTCTCAAAACCATTTGAATTTATCTGAACTTTGCTTCTGGTTCTCAGTGTGATAGTATTCCTTTTTCAAAACATAACAGAAGACAGTTCAATAACCGCATCAACCTATCTACTAGCTCTTGAAGGCATGCGAAGCAGTAGTTGCCTTGCTAACTGTCATTCTTTTCCCTTCAAAGGGTAAGAGGGTGCAATACATATGCAGGTTTATCTGTGTTATTCATTGTCAAACTCTATTTTGCTTTATGTTTAACAGTTTTATGCACATTTCCAACATATAAGATGGTAACATGGCAGGAGTGTTTGGAAATAAATAGCAATTTAATTCTATAAAATATAAGTTTTAAAATGTCTGTAACAAAACTTAATTGTAGACTTCTGATAAATCATGCAGGTGTAGTGGTTAAAGGCCTCAGCTGTAGGTGTTTCAAAGATTCAACAAAATATGGTTAGAAAAGATACTTCAGAACAAAATAATGACTTCCTCTCTAATGGAGAGGGAGTATATTTTCTTATGTAGATTTTAGAGTAAAAGAAAATTTGAAGAAATGCTTCTCTTGCTATAATGATGGAAATCAATATCAAAACAGAAAGAAAACAATGGTAGAAATTGAATTATCTGATAAAATATTAAGTTATATGTCATGGACACTATGTAGAGTAAATGGGACATCAAAAGAACTCTTCTTTCCAGGCTTAGAGATTATATTGTGAGGGCAGAGTGTAAAAATATACAAATTACTTAATTAATGTCAATATAACAGCACCTTCTCATGGAAAGAAAAAATGAGTTATTTCAGAGATAGAATACAAAATAGAAACATAAAGAGAACATGGGAGAGTTTGGGAATACCGTGAAGACATTATTCAGTGGTTAGGGAACTATGGGAAGGGAGGTAGAAAGATTGTAAGAGTCAGAGGGATTTAATGACAGCAAGGAACTAGGACTGACACCATATGAAGTCATAGAGACTATTGTAGTATATAAAGGTTTATATACATTCAAGCCAGACAGGCTTCCAGTACTGAAAGAGGAAGTGTACATGAAATCCCACCATAAACAATAAGAAAATTACTCCAATTGACATAGAGTTGTAAAGAAAAAATTAGTTTTCTCTAGTAGAGTTTCACTGTATATACTAACCACATTTAAGAATAGGTCCGATGCCTAGCAGAAGATTGTTAACACCAAATGAACTTAAAGCCATTTTAAAAGCTAATTTGTCTTACATGGCTTTGTTTGGGAATTCTTTATCTTACTGATCTTTTGCTTCTGTATTATGATTCCCAATTTTGCATTTTTATGAATTTTGCTTTCTTGTTTATCTGTGTATCTTTGTAGTATTTTTCCATTTATTTTGTTTGTTTTCTCAAAAGACAAGGAAAGAAAGGGATTTGGATTGTTGGGGAGGTAGGAAAGATTTTGGAGGACTTGGGCCTTGTAATACTACTTAAAAGTTTTTTATTGACTGTCATCTATATTTTTAGCTGACAAAATTGTGTACAATATCTATTACATCTCAAGAATACATACATTGTAGAATAGTTTCTATAGTAAAATCAGCTACTCATAACAATTTTAAGAATATATTCCACTTTCCTTCACATTGTCTTTCTGCTGCACATTAGTGCTTCTAAGTTTGTTGTAGATAGAAATTATATAATATTTTTATGTATTTATTTTTTAAAAACAATATTTTTTTCATTGTGCATGCCAATCCCAATTCCTACTCCCTACCCTCCTCCAACTTTCCCCTTCATCCCCCATCCCACCCCCAGTAATTCTTCAGAGAGGGTAAAGCTTCCCATGGGAACAGTCAACAAAATCTGGACATCACTTTGTGTTAGGACAAAGACACTCTCCCCTACATCTAGGCTGAGAGAGGTATCTCTCCATAAAGAATGGGCACCAAAAAGCCAGTTCATGCACTACGGATAAATCCTGGTCTCAGTGCCAGTGGCTCAATTGACTGCCCAATCCATATAACTGTCACCCACATTGAGAGGGTCTAGTTTGGTCCTATGCAGGTTCCCCTGCTTTAGTGCAGAGTTGGTGAGCTCCCTTTAGCTCAGGTCTGCTGTTTCAGAGAGTATAGCCATCATGTTCTTGACCCCTTTGCTCATATTATTGCTTCTCCCTGTACTTGACTGAACTTGGGAGCTCATCCCAGGGCTTAGATGTCAATCTTTGCATCTGCTTTCATCACTTGCTGAATGAAGGTTCTATGAAGACAAGTAAGGTAATCATTGATCTGATTACAGGGGAAGGCAGTACAGGCGCCCTCTCCACTATTGCTTAGGGCAATCTTTGTGGATTCCTTGAAATTTCCCCAGTGTCAGGTTTCTCACTAACCCAATGATGACTCCTTCACTCAAGATATCTTTTTCCTTGTTCTCCCTCTCTGTCCTTCCCCCATCTTAAGCATCCCATCTTC